CTGCAGAAGGAGATGAAATTTTCGGCCTCCATTTAAATTTCTCCAAATGAATGTTAAAGCCCTGAGAATTTGTTGTTAGAATCCCCTTTTTTTCCTACAATCCTCTTTAGGAGCCAACCAAACGAACAACCTGTTCTTCCCACAAGGTCAAGCCCTGGAAAGCTCAGGGTTAATTACATCAGGCTATGATAGGCCTGTAAAAGGAGTATGGCTTGTGTCATACTGTACTGAGAGAGTACAGATCCTATAACCATCCTCTTGTAATAAAAGAAAAGGAACACACAAAATTCAACGTTTCTTCTTATATTAAAATCACCCCCTCCAATGGACATGATTGCTGTCAGGGACATCTTGCTTCTCAGCATCTCAAACAAGCATTTCCACTAAAATGGCATTATTTTACTTCAGTCTTATTTATAAAGATCTGTTTTCCCCAAAAATGTAGAATCATTTAAATTTTCATTTAACTGCATGTCCATAATAATCTGAGGCTACCAAATAAACAAACTGTAGTCACTGAGGAGCCGAAAGAACTTTCTCTCTGGGAGTTCCCAATGCTGGGAGAAGGTCAAAGAGAACGAAATACTGGAAACAAACCCAATAGATTTGTGTTCTGAAAGTCCCTTGACTTAGAAAAGTTCAAGCAAAACAGCAGACTGCTGGTCGGGTGGAATGCTCCTTTATCCCAAGCTGAGTAGAAGCATCAAGTAGCACCATACACAGACAATCTTTGAACGTCTGTTTGTGTACTAAAAAGTACATCAAGGAATTTGGAGACAGGAAAATGAAAAGATCAAGGCTGCGACGAGTTCAGATCAGCTGAAAGATCTAATGTTTTATGCTATAGTGGGAACAGGAAGAAAATTAAAGAGTCTGAGTTGTAATGAAGCAACAAACAAGAGAGAGAAGTGCTGTGCAGTGGAGGATGGACTAATGGGTTCCTAAGCAGGAAGTACAATGGTTTGAAGGATGCTATACTATAATCTTATGTCCAAATTAATAGAGGAGATCATTCTACAAGTGAGATGTGACTGGGCATGCAGGTAGTAGCGGGCATGGACTAGGGCTGAGAAGACGACTGTCTTCAAAAGCTAAATGCAGATATCTGTACTTGGGGAAAAGTTTTTCATCTTCTCCCCCTCTGGACTGTCCTCCCACCCAGCTATGCAGTAAAACTCAGCCATCTGAAGGGCAAGAAACACCAATTTTTTTTTGATTTGCTGTACCTTTGCTACAAATGCCTTTGAAAATGAAACATCAGGTGATGATGGGACATTTGGAAGACAGATTTAGTGCCAGAAATATTTTGTGTTTGAGGCATCGCTCCTGAGTTGTCCCGATAGCAGCTCTAGATACCTTTAAGACATATGAGGCTTAGGACTCCATGAGTTAGGTCTTTTTGAAGAGCTTAACTCAAGAAATGAGCCATTTAGAAGATTTATGTCTTGTTATTGCTTCCTTCAAAAGATACAGGTTGACGTGGGCTGTCAACTTTGGCAGTTCTTGGTTAAGAACATGATATATAATCATCAGTATATTTATCTGCAGGGACAAAAGACTCAAATGTGTTTGAATAAGGGAAAAGGTGGATGGAGACCTACGATTAACTTTATAAATAACAAGTGGCAAAGCTGCATAGTCACAAAGTGGGGGCTGAAATGCACTTTTCTACAGTTTGTAAAGACTCATATAATTTCTTTGGAAACTGAGCAGCAAACAGGTAATTTTCTCTGAAAATTGCTTGTACCACCTCAGTAACACTCTGCAAGAGAGGCCTATTTCTCTTGTGTCTTCTTAATCCTCTGTTATTTTCATTATAAATTTAATTAAGCTTTTCTAGGGAGTGCTATATGACATACAACCTGAGTTTTGTTTTTCTGTCAAAGTGGTGATAGAAATGAGCTGCTGAATTATGTTGCAATTAAATATTTTCCCTACTCCCCCACCCCATACAAGTATTTCACATGATATTAAATGGCGCAGACTTCACTTTCTACACCTACATCAACGCAACTAAAGTTGAGAGAAAGACATGCACGAAAGGTTCACGTGTCTGAAGAATACCATCCAGCCTGCCCTCTCTCCTGTGCTGGAGAGTGTCCACAGCTTCCACTTCCCAGAACACCTGAATAACAGGTCACCTCTGCACAAGTCGGTCGTATGAAAGCTGTTGTGAGACAAAAAAAAAAAAAAAAAAGCTCTTTGTTCCGAGAAGGGCAAATGAGGATCCTCCCTAGATGAGAGCACAGCTGAACGCGGCTTCCTTGTGATAGCTTTTTTTTCTGAGGGCCATAATTGTAAGACGGAATTATTCCGGGGAGGACTCTTCTGACTAGCCTCTTGGTTTTGCTCGGGACTGCTAACTAAGCAACACAATCAATGTTCCAGCAGGGGCAAAACTTGAGTGGATTGTTGTTCTCACAGCAATTTGCAAGGTCTTCTAACCACCAGTGATCCCCATTTTTCCTGCTTTACTAGTGACACCAGGATGCAGCAACGTCTGCATTAGAGTCTCACGGCAGCAGGACTCTTGGCCTAAAGCGGATGCAGATTCTTCCCAAAGGGCTGCAGACCCAACTATGTCGTCCTGAACGCGACTCTGCCCCTTGCACAAAGCTATAAACGCTGTTACCTTTCACTGTGCCTCCCTGGAGCCCTGCTTGCAAATGAAAACTATTCTGAAGCTTTTGATTTCTGCATGTCTACAACTCAGTCAAAGCACCAATTGCGGTCATCCCAGAAGTGCTGGGCCTTGGGCACAGCTGGTGCTGGTGAGCCCTTTCTGCCTTTTTTTTTCCCCCCTTCTGCTCTTTGGAGATCAACGGGAGTAAAATGAACACCAAAGGTTTATGTCACAAATTGAGTGAGTAGATAGTTAACAAAAACCTACCCTGGCCTTACCTTTGTTACTGTTAAGGTTTTGGGGGTTCTTACTGGTGATTTATTATTTTGTTTTAAACCATTCCCACTGAAGCGAGACTGATACTCCTGCTGCCAGCCACATCCATCATCTTGGAGAATTTCAGGCATCACTGCCAAGAAAAATAGCTTCAAAGTGATCTTGGAGTAAAAATGTTACACCAAGGGAGAGCCATCTTTCTATGCCTCACAGTTCTTTAAAGTTATGCCTCTGACAGTTTAACAACTGCTAAACAGCTTACGTCTCAGCAGGAGACTTCCAAGCTGTTTGAGTATGAAAAGTATGACATTTTAATTAGAGAAACTTCCCCTTTGCTACAAGCAATCCTCCGCTTGTGACCAGCTTTTACGTTTCTGCAGTGCCAGCAGCAGCCACGCTGGTCTGAGCCCTGGGCACTCCTGTGGTCAGCAAAAGAACCTGATCTCTCCCCTCCAGACAGCAGTAAGATGAAGTGAAACAGCTCTCACACTTTTCCAGACTGGTCTGAGGGATTGGAGAGGATTCTCTTAAGAAGTGAGGCAGCAGAAGGCAGCATATCTAGCGTTCTCCAGAATATTCCGAGTCAGCCTCTAACTCAGATGAACCTGCCCTGTGGCATGCAGGTTGCCCCCTCTCTCTGCCCAGTTTATAATGAAGTATTCATTACATGTGCTTTAGCAACTGTCAAACATCAAAAGAAAAATAAATGTATGAGAAGTGTCCAAGCATTTTTTAATAGCAGACAGGATCATTACAATCATCCCATCAGATCTTTTACTTAGCACAGACCACAGAAATTCAGTGGGTAAGGCATCTCTAAAAAAAAAGCACATTACTGAGCAATGAAATACAGATATGACTCATGCACCATTAAGTATCTTATATTTTATAGAGCCTTTTTAAGTCTCATGTGTCCGCTCCATCTTTCTTTTCTGTCCTGATCAACTGTCAGCTATTCCTGGACAACAACATCTGCTGTTTTCTTGGACACACCACGAAGAAAGTCACTAACCAGAACCTCTTTGGCAAGTTTTGGAACTCCTATCGAATCACAGTAGCATTGTCACAGGCAAGACAAAAATGTTACCACAACAAAAGAATCCAACCCACAAAGCACATGTGGTCACCAGAAAAATAATCCACTTCTGATCATCTTTGTTACGGAGATCTGAAATCATTTCCCAGCAAAACCAACACTTAAACCTAAGTGTTAAACCTAAGTCTAAAAAAAATGTCAGCTCTGTTGTGCATCCACTGTTAAGCAGTAACTTCTTTGGGGCTAGAAATCATCAAAATGCACATCATCAGCATCATTTGTTGTGCTATCAGAACAACCCTGCAAGTAGGATCACACATATAAACAGGATGCATTTAGCATATATTTTTTTTTTCTGCTCATCCACAGAAACATAAAAGCACGTTTTTAGCAGAGAGGTTTCAATCTTGGCATTTAACTCGGTTTTATAAGCCCAACAGGGAACAGGATCCAGAATTGCACCTCTCTAGTGAGAGCTTCCGTGTTTAAGGCCCAAATGGCAAAGAAGATCAGTAAATAATTTGAATGCTTAAGGAAGGATGGAGTAGAATTACCCTGGAATACCTTTTCTCTGTGTTACATCCATTTAAAGACTTCTCACTACTGATGTTTCTTCCTTGCTTGCTTTATTTTTGCTAAAGGTTCTTTTTATGAAAAAGGAATGCCAGAAAATCCGACACATACAGTACTTTATGATTAGTGTCTATTTCCAACAGCACGTGAAAATCTCAGGATTCAGTTGTCATATGTGCTCAGGTCAGTTTACACCAATCCCCTCTGTACAAAAACACAGAATTAAGGCAAAAGAATCTGTAGCAGACATCCACATACGGTCAATATGCATGGTTCCAGCATTATGTCCAAATGAAGAGGGACTACATAAGCTATGTTCATTTCCATCCCTCCACAGTATGGATATGGAAAAACATTGCCTAAAGACAGCATCATCAACCCAAAATCTTCTATGCACTTAGCAAGACTTTCAAAAAAAAAAAAAAAAAAGCACAATTTTCATGTTTTCACCAGGCTCCAGAATATGCTGGTTTAAGGAACTGCACGTGGTACCTACAGTTCTATCCTTCCTGGAACAAATTTGGTTCTTGATATCTTTGCATCACTCACCACAGTCCTATTCCCTTATCTATTCACTGGTGAGTCTGTCCCCTGAAGCAATGTAGTGATATTTTCTCTCTGATGTCTAATGGCCAACTGGAGGGCTGTGCAGTCAGTGATATCTTCCACATCAAGCAGAGCACCAGCCATAATCAAGGTCTTTATGTTGGCTATGTTGCCCTCTAGGACAGCAAACTGCAAGGGTGTCCAACCGACTTTGTTTTTAGCGTAGACATCTGCCTTGCACTCTAAGAGACTGGTGACACTCAGATAAGAGCCTCGCTGGACTGCAAAATGGAGAGGGGCCCACTCTGTCTTCTCAGCAACATTGGGATCTGCCCCACGTCTCAGTAGCTCACAGACCACTGTCTCTTCACTATAGCGAGTGGCCAAGTGAAGCACTGTCCAGTCCATGCTTCCTTTGACATTGAGGTTGGCGTGGCTGTCTTGTAGCTGGTGAATGATTTCAGTGTGTCCTTTGCCAAGTGCAGAGGAGTCCGGCCTTTGTCTATCCTCAGCTCCACATCAGCTCCATATTTGATGAGTTTCTCATAAATGATATACTTCCCCTTCACCACAGCCAGGTGCAGGGCACTGTGATGATTCTGATCCAGGCTGTTGACATAGGCCCCATTTTTCAACAAATAATGGACTATGCTGAACTTCCCCCTCTTCACAGCAACATGAAGTGGTGCCAGCGGTTCTGCTGCTTCTTTTCCAGGTCTGCTCCTTGGCTGGCCAGCAATTTAACCAAGCCCAAAGCAAGCTGCCACATGGAGAGCCGTTTTCCCATCAGCTCCTTGGATGTTAGAGCCAGCCTGGCGAGACAGCAGTACTCGGGCTGCATTGTCAAAGTTGTTCTGGGATGCCAACTGGAGAGGGGTCCAGCCATCACGCTCTTGCGCATTTACACGGGCCTAGTGGTCCAGCAAGAAGCGTACAGTCCTGTCATCTCCATTCTGAGCAGGAGAATGGTGGAGAGGTATCCAGCCATCCCAACCTGGCGTATTGGTGTGTGCATCATGCTCCATCAGAACTGAGCAGATCTCGGGAGATCTCCTCTGAACAGCCATAACAAGTGGGGTATAGCCACTGACTCCCTCGCTGTTCACACTGGCTTTACAGCTCAGGAGAAGCTTCACTTTTTCCACGTTTCCCTGGATCACCATGAGATGAAGTCACGTGAGGCCATTTTCACGGACTCCGCAGCTCTCCTCAGACAGGATGTCCTCTGGACTTTTGGTCTCACTACGAGAAGATGGGATACGAACCTCGTGACCATCAGTTTCTAAAAGCAGGAGAAACAAAATAGGAGAAAGAATACGACCAAGTGAAACAGCTTGGATGTTCACCAGATGGGAGAGAGAACAGGTAAATCTTTATAGTATTAAATGAAATAAAAGCATTTTACAGATAAGGTAACATGAAATAAGGCAAGACTCTTAGACCGCGGATTAATTCTCTTACAAAGCAATGAGACACCCGGCCTCTTCTTCACAGTTCTTTTTCTTTAACTTTAAATGAAAAGCCATGCGGATGGAAAACACTTAACAGAGCCACACCCTTATCTCTGGAGAGGAAGTATGCAATTTAGGTGTCTTCCCCTTGCTCTGAAGAAAAGACCCCAACTTACCACTACTGCTGGTGTCTCGAGAAAAGGCAAGGGCTTCTTGGACTCCCTTATTTTCATGAAGGAAAAAAGCAAAAAACAAGCCATAAGGGAAAGCTGTTCATTCTCTCTATAGAATTTTTGCATTGTGAGTTCTTCTCTGTTATTGCTCATTGATGTTGTGTTATTAACTTCTGTTTTTAAACCAGCCCTGCTGTTGCATTGAAGTCTCAAGAGAAAATCATGGCACTAGTGGGAATGCAAGAGCCTGAAAATGATCCCCAGGTATCCATGAGATTTTGCTCCTTTTAAATCATCTGCTCCCAAACATATTTACATATTTACATTCTACTTCCTTACTGCAGTACATGCCCACGGCAGCAACCTAGTTAGTCAATTCCTTTGCAGGGAATACAAGCTTCCTAAATTAATCTTCAGTTTTCTCATCTCCATGAATGAATTACACACACACACACAGCACTAGGCAAAGCATGCTCATATATCCTTGTCATCTAGGGACAAACAGTGATAGGTTAAGAAACAGTTTTAAGAACTGGTAAGAAAAGAGAAAGGACTTTGTAGAATTTCCTGAGCAGTATTGGGAAGCCTTTCTCACCTGTTAGTTCCTGGGGACAGTAGGCTTGTGGGATATTTTCCTGACAAGATGTTCATTCTCTGGATCTATTATCAGGCTTTGTATTAAGGACAGCAGCACGTCTGTTCCTAGAGAGATGTCTACAGAAATAAAGACTGTTACCTGTGCACACCATGCACACATTCAGAATCAGATCAGCAACCTGGGAGATGGAAGTCCACCACATGGGAGGAAGGAAAGAGGAGAAAGAGGGTATGTTTACGGCAGAAAGGCACCAAACATCTCCAAGGCAACATGAAATTTGATTAACATGAACTTATCTCCCACTTATAAATCATGGAGTATCAGGTACCAGACCTGTGAAGTCAGGCCTTTGCTTTGGGTCTTGATCCCAGCACCTCTTCATCAAGTCAACCATCTGTTGGCATTCCCCTGGCCCTGATCACTGATGGGTTCTAGGCAGGGTCTTCTTCCTGCTGCAACCTTTGCTATAATGGCTGTCGTATTGGCTCCTAGAAAAAAAAAAGGTCAGGAATAAGCACTGGGCTTGTTTTCACAGTGCACAGCATGTAAGTAGCACATTCATTTTCACAGTTACCTGCATAAGGTTTCTTCTGCATAAGCACCTCCCAAATGATAATTCCGAAGCTGCAGGGAATTAGAAATCATGAGCAATCACCCCCATACAGTTCCCACTGCACAGGAACATAAAATCTACATACTGCTAGGATGCTTTTATCTTCCTGAGAAATGGAAAAATTAAGAAGGAAGTGCTTCAAAATAGAAGAACTAGGGTTTTATCCCCCACACTCCCCAAAAGGAGAATATCCTGTGAATCATCATAGACACTTTTGATGCCTCAGCCACAGCGTTTGTGCAGTGAATGAGCAACTAGCAGCATTTCCTGCGAGAGTCGGGCTCTCAGTCTCTCCTTCTTTCCACCCAATCCCCATCAGGCTACAGAGTCCCTGACTACTGGAAGTTCAAATGACCATCCAAGTTCCTCCTCTGATTCCTGCCTTGGTAACTGTGCAGCATAGTGGCTAAGGAGCTGATATACGGCAAAACACTTCTGCTAAAAGGGGGAAAGTGAAGTTAAAAACCTTTTTCCACCTGATACTGATCACAGTCAAGGTTAATACCCAAGTAGCCAAGCAATATTACAGTTGTCTCAAAATCAATAAGAGTCTAAGCAACAACTGTTATGAAAGAGCAGGAACTGTTTGCGCTGTACTCTAGTCTTAAGTCTACTCTTTCTTCCTTACCTGTACACATCGTATTTGGCTCCTGGAGGGTTGGTATTCTGGAGAAACATTTCTGGGGGGATGTAGCTCAGAGTGCCTCTCAAAGCAGAGCTTTCGATGCACTGCCTTTGGCTAGACTGCTCCATCCATTTTGATAGCCCAAAGGATGAGATCTGCAAGCAGAACCAAATCCTGTATCGCTCACAGACTCACCTCTCCTTGTTTTAGCTGGGCAATACCTCCATCCTACATGACCAGGCGCACGAGGAGGCATCTAGCAGTTGAGTCACTTGATACAGCTCTGGTACAACTCCAGCAGTGCTTTCAACCTGGCTAAGACCCCGATGAGAGTACAGACCAATTTAGTTTACAAGATACTTGTAAGTCCCAATGGAGAGTGAACATAGCAAGCAGGTCACCAGGCTGCTTTAATCCTCATGCCCATGTTTAGTTTAAGGGGCCTACTTCTGCCTCCAGGTTTCAGCGCTTGTTCAGAACACGTGTTCCTTTCACCCTTGCATAAGCACACACACACACACGGAGGAAGGAGGTAGAATGCCAACTCTCTAGCCTGGCTTCCCAAAGATGAGTAGCCACGTGAACAATTTCTTTAAAGTTTTAGTACCAAGTCACCACAGATGGTTCTACTTGACAGCTTGAACTGATCGGAGCATAAGAGAGCAAACAGTTACCTCTCTACGCTGGAGTCCGGCAGCAGATACAGAGGGCATTTCACTGCATAGACTGTCCTCCACTTCTTGTGCTTGACTTGATAGACATGCCCAAAGCCTCCGCTGGCCCCTTTTACCCAGTCCTCTTCAAAAATCTTCCTTGTTAAAGACAGTTAAGCTGCCTGGGTGCTGATCTAGCTTTGAAGGCGTAACTGAACACAGCCTCGCTGGCTGCCTCCCACTCTGGCAGTATCAGAGAAGAATCAAGGAGTTATTCTTGCTTCAGATTTGCATAGGGAGGTGGGGAGTTACCTGGGACACGCCACCTTCATCACTGCCAAGAGGTGGATCCTCGCAGTCCCTTTCAGTCCTATAGGAGAGAGCAGCATTACCACGTTCTCGGCACCCCGGCCAGCTGCTGAACAGGCCTTGGCCACCCTGGATGTGGGTATCTGGCTGTGTTTCCTTTGAGCTGCCCTTCCCTCTCATACCTTACAGCAGGTAGGCAAGGTGAAAAAATGGTGCACTACAGCAACCTTTCCACAACTGCAGCATGCTGAAGAAGGGAGTCCTCCCCAAGGACTGTGCTCTGTATACTGAGCATATATTGAGTGCAAGGGAGGCAGACAGACACCTAAAGACAGGCTTTTTGCAGAAATCCACAAGACTTCTGCGTGGCATAGGCCTGGTGAGCTAGATGAGAAGGCAGTGTGGCAAACACTCCAGGAGGTCAGGGAAAAGTGATGGCCTCAGTACAAGCACCTGGGGACCATCAGTGCCTGAACCTGAGAGACTGTTTAAGTAGAAAGGTAGCAAGCACAGAGAGCCAGGATGGTTACCACAGGCTAAAAGCATGTACTGAGTGCCTGCAAGGGGCATGTGAGAAGACGAGAAAACTCTGAAGAGCTGGTCTGGGCAGTTTACTGGTATCCAGGACAAGTTATCCATGTTCTGACCATATGGCCTATAGTTTCAGTTGGACACAGTGCCTGACTGCTTGAGAACCACAAGGTCTTCTCTTTCTTTTTATGTTGCTAAGAGGCTGTTATACCTCAGATTTGGCTACACTTTGGTTGCATCTTAGTGCCAAAAATCAATGTGGCTTTTTACAGGATATTTCTTTCTCTGCTAATTTCAATAGAGCCCGCTGCATCAGTCTTAAAAACCCTGTTGACAAACTTGTTTTAAGGAGGAGAAAAGCAGTCCTCTGGTTGAAGAACAGGGCAAAGACACAGGAGACCTCGACCCATCCTGGCTATGTAAGAATCTCGATGCACACACGCTTTTTATTGCTTTATGCCTTGAGTGCTCAACTGCAAGTACCACCCTATAACAACACCTTCCTAAGCCCTGTGCATTTAGGTCACGAACAATTTAGCACAGTGACTATTTTCGTTCTATGTAAGCAAGTCCATGTCAAATACAATATGCTACCATTTCCTTTAACACTATTGCACAGCATATAATTACTATTTCTGAATGGTTAATTGCAACTGAACCTTGATTTAGAATTTTTAGCTGCTTATCAGATCTGCAGAAATTAATGGAGGAAAGTTGATCCATGTAGAGGTACAAATAGTTCTTCCTTGCATTTGACACAAGTCACTCTGGCAGCTGCCCATCCACAGCCTGCTGTTTGATAATGGTGTCAAACAAACTGGCCATAGGATTGGGATGTGACGAGTTCTTTTCTGTGTGCTTTTGGACCCTTGTCCACATTTCCAAATAGCAATCTTGGGTCTTGATATTTTTTCATAGCCATCTGTTCCCCTTGATGTCATGGCTCTACGTTAGTGTGTTGTTTTACACCTTCCTTCCTTCTGCACTTGGATTTCCTGCCTGGTTTTCCATTTCCCTGAATAGACTGGGTGCTGGTGCTTTGCAGATATACCATTTTAAGTTGCGGTCTTACTGCTGCATCCCTACTACAGTTTTTGATATGTCTACCCTGCAGTTTTTGGACTCTTTCCTGCAGAGGGAAAGAAAGGAGAGATGTGCTTAAAGCAGAAATTGAATCCCTTGCTCCCTGTGTTGGTAGAAGCTCTGCAAGAGCAATACAGTGTGCGAAGCAAAATCAACTGCTTTTCTGATCAGTGTAGCGGTGGTGTGCAACCTGCAGGAGCAGTCAGCTGCTCATAGCTCACAGGCTTTGGACTTCTCCAAGTGGTGGATAACCTAGGTTTTTGGTGTTCCGTCTGTGATGCAGCCAGAGACTGAGGAAAGCACCACCCAAGACAACAAAACCAGTAAGGGATCCCAGCAGAATGGGTACCAGCATAGCAGAATCAGGACCTGGAAAGAAAGAAGCAATCAAGCCATGAACAATATTGAGAAGGCGGCTGAGGAGAGAGGCAGTAAAGTCTCATTCTTCTTAACATCATGCCAAGCAGGTATGGCCAGCTTTCCTTCCATAGAGTATATTGAATGTATGTATCTTTTCAACCAAACTAACTTCTTCGCCATAAAAGCTCAGCAGCAAATATCATATACAAACACCAGAAACAAAAACACAAGAAAACTCTTTTCAGCTAGGGGATACTTTGCTTTGTTTTCCTTTCCTCTTCTTCTAAAGCTTGAGTACCTACCGGGAATCAAGTTGGCTGCATCTCTTGCCTGACAGTTTAACAGATCTGATCCTGATTAACCTGCCCATCTGGGATTTATGTAGGCCAATGCTAATGTGAAGAGCTGTTTGGCTAAAACTCAGCCATGACAGACAGTGTACTGTAAATGTATACCGTTTCCCTCACGGACAGAAAAGCTCTTTGTTGAATAGACTGGAGCTTGAGAGGGACAGAGATGTGAAAAAACAAACAAACAAACAAAAAACCCAAGATACTCACCTTCCACAGGTTTATATAGAAACTTGTTCTTCATTCTCAAAATTGGACCAAATGAAATCAGGTTTTGCAGGTTTCCATAACTGTTGCTAACCCTTTGTGGGGGAAGCATCTCCACACTTTCAAAGCAATCCTATAACAGACATGTAAAAAAAAAAAAAATTAAACACATACTGGAGGGGCCTGGACAGGATCTCCTGCACTAGGGCTGTGTGCAGTCCACCGCAATCATGGTATTACTTGATGTGGATCACTCCTGATGTAGTCTTTGCCTAGCTCTGTCATACTAAAACGTGCATTTCCTAATGCTTGGACCAGCCTACACGTGTATCTCTATTTCCCAATTACCCTTTTTTTTTTAAGGGATTAGCACCTATTGATTCAATTTCATATCATATAACATTCCTTATACTCATCTTCCAGACTTATTGACCAGATGCAGGATGAAACAGCTAAAGGGAGTGGCTGAGTTCTTCCCAAGAAATGTCTGACTATGGTTTTAGGCCTATGTTGTGTCTGCACTATAAGTAAGTGCAGCTATATAAGTAAGTGCACTATAAGTAAGAGCAACTACCTTATCTCTGAGAGCTCATTGTGTCTGCACGATAAGTAAGTGCCATTAGAGCAACTACCTTATCTCTGAGAGCTCCAAGTTTGAGGAAGTCTGAAAAGTCCCATCTCCCATACCCAGAACAAGCCAATTTAGAGAGAGATTTAAGCCCTTTTGTGTAATTCTACAATGCAAAAGTTGCTGCTTGCTTGTTATTGTGCGTCTTGAGCTGATTACACCATACAGCAGTAAACAGTTCGTAATAGGAAGGTGAAAATAGGACAGCGAACTCTGTAAGCTTAATTGAAAGCAGAAATTTAGTCAGGACTTTGGGGGAGATAGCATGCAAGAGATTGAGAGTGTGCAAGCTGGAAGAAAGCAGAACTCCTCAACCTACCATCACAGACTTTGCTCAATCAATTGTACTTGACAGAAGCACCCAGTCCTTCCAAAACCTCCTTACTGATGTCTTTCCCTTTCCCTTATTTCCCCTCAACTTCCTTCTGTCATGAGACCAGTGAGAGAGGAGAAGACTCTTGCTACGTACCTGCTCACACCCTGTTTTGCCATGCAGACAGACATTAAGCTCACAGTGCAAATAGGCCACCGAGTGATTCAGCATCTGGAACAGCTGAATGGCGAAGCTAGCAGATCTGGATTGACGGGTCTGCAGTAACTGGATGTGTCTGCAGTCAGATGGCAACCTGGCAAGGAGAAATGGAAAACAGTTTCAATTTCCAGCCCTCCTCTGAACCAAGTCAGGAAGGACAGTCTGCTGACACAGTTATACGCAAATTCCAAGCCATGTATCTGGGCCTAGGGAGTCAAACAAAAGTGCACAAAACCATGTGTCACGCTGGACATGTCACTGTCACGGAGGCCACAGGCCCAGAGCAGCAGAATTTTTTATGGGAAGTTGATTTTGTTAAGCCTTTAAAAGGGTGCTACAGTGTGATAATCATTTCCTGATCTAGATGGATTCTGGAGCACTGCTTCAGTGACCACCTGCTGTAGCCAACAATGGCAGATCAGTTAAACCTTCTATGGATTATCATAATACCTAGCGCTTCTAACTTACACCTCACGCTTAAAGGGTTTTACGAACGTTAACTAACTAATCCTCAAATGTCCTTGCACCCAACCCAGATACTTTAGGCAATAATATCCTCGAAACACTGATAGGGATATGGATTGCAGGGAAGAGTGTTGTGCCCAAGACTATGGAGACAGTCTGAGAAGTGCCGCTGCTCACTTACAAAAACCAGAAAGTGAAAGGAATAGAGCTATTTTTCATTTTCCACAGAGGCCCTAAATCTTATCATGCCCTAAGGCAGCGAAAGGAGCAGTGCACCCTTAGATGCATCCTTACTCCATTTAGTCAAATCTTAATTCCAGAGACGTCACTGACTCCCTGTAGCTATACAACACAAGGGAAGGCATTCTCTATGGATTAAGATAATCCTTATCCCAACCCCTGCTCATCCCTGCAGCTCTCTCTCTGACCTGTGGAACAGACAGCATGCAGCATCTGGTCCCTCTGTCCTGCTGGTAGGGGTCACACAGCACGACCGGATTTGTAGCACAGGGTGGCTGCTATTACTCTGCAGAGCAATCAAAGCCAGGAAAGTCTCCTGGGGAGGCAGTGACCCATAGACCTCAGAGCTTGCTTCCGTGGCAGGACGCAGGCTCATCAGCGCTGTGTAATTGCCAGAGCCGCACACATCAGTCACAACTGCATGGCTGAAAGAAAAGAAGGAAGAGAGGAGAAGAGATGAGAAGACCCCTGCACGCTCTGCTGCCTGTTAAAAACAAGTCAACGTTACAGTCTATTTCCTCAGTTAAGTGAGATTGAAGCATGAGTCCCATTTATAAATAAGTTGAAACAAAAGAACAACATGTGGACCCTAGCATGATGAATTCTTATGACTAGAAATACTTCCTGCCTCTCTGTACTTTCAAATGACTCGAATTGAGGGAAGCCTAGAAATGTTTTACTACATGAGAATATTTGTTTTCTTTGCTAGCACATTTACTTAAGCACTATTAAATGCTCCCAACTACAAAACTGCCTATAGAACTCATCTAGGGATCAGTCACAGAATGAAAATAACAAGTCTGAAGATCAGAATTAGGATATAAACGAACAGTGGCCCGTCTTTTATGTGTGAGGTCAACCTAGAAGGAAATCAGTTTTTAAAATCCCAACACAGCTTTTCCGGGTTACTGAGGCCATGGAGCAGTTTGGATACTGCCTCGTATCGTCCCTCCTCACCCCCTTTTAAGTCAGGTAGCATAAGGATGTAGTAGCAAGTCCACTGAGATAATTACCCATTCAGAAGATCATCATCTGACTGCAAAGCACTTCTTTGGCGTGGTTCACTCAGCAATAGGTTGGGCTCAGAATCCAGCAGTGTCAGGACAGTTACCAAGCCTTCAGCTGCTTCTTCGGTCACTTCATTTGTTTTAAAGACCTCCTCTGCTTCGGTGCTCAAGATCGGTTTCCCAGAGTGTCCACTGTTCATAACATTTGGCAGGGAATTTCCATCTGATGCAAGTGGTACCAGAATCTGAGAAGAATATGAGAGGCTTTCTGGGGTTGGAAGGATCTGGGTAAGGTCTGGAGTTAGAAGCATCTGACGATCATCGACATCTGCTGAATTTAAGACAGGTGACAGATAGATACCCTTATTTACAAGTCTACTAGCAGAGACAGAAACCGCTTGTGTTGTAGATGACCTAGTGGAGTGCCTGGCAGCATCAGGACCTGGCTCCTGTTCAGTGTTATCTTCCAGTAATATGTTCTCCAAAGGGTATACTTGTAGACTTGCTGATGCATGACGTGATGAAAACACAGGTGTCTGAACAGGCAGCTGGCCAGTTGCTGCTGAATATTCCTCTTTCACTAACGTGCCATCATTCTGCACTGTTGATGGTGAGACCACAGTTGCTTTGTTCATCCTGGCAACTGTGGGCAGAGCCACGTATGGATCAGATTTGATAGCTGACGTTGGCAAGAGAAAAGCTTTTTTGTTCGTAAGTGAAGCAGTCATATGATCATTCTTAGCTGCAAGGAGAAAAGTCATTGCTGAGGGAGATGGCAAGGTGCTTGATGTTAATTTAGTCTCTTTCTCAAAAGCAGTAGATCTTGCAGGCACAGATGGCTCTACCAGAGTTAAAGCAGTCTTATTGCCAAGAACTGCTGTGGGGGGCTGCTGTGTCCTTGTGTTGAACACGGCTGGCACAGACATGCTCGTTCCCAAGAATGCGCTAGTTCCTATTTTTCCTATGCTTGTGCTGATTTCAGTTGTCTTTGCATTTTCTCCCACGTCTGGCGGTGAGAACAATTTAGTAGGTGCTAGACTACGTTGCTTTGCAGTTGGTAGCAGAGGGGTACCTGTTAACACAGATGAAGGCAGCCTTGCAGGAGACTCGGCATATATCCTTGGGTGGGTAATTGTAGCCAGGAGTTTCCCAGAAGCAGTTGTTTTCCTTTGGACCTTAGTCAAAAATGGATCATACACAGGTGCTACTGGTGGTCTCTCTGTCACCACAAAGGCCTTAGGCACAAGAGGAGTAAATAGCAGGTGTTTAGTAAGATGAGGCTTTACAGAGGCGGTGGATGTTCGTACCGCTGCAGCACGCGTCGTGGCTCCTCCTGAACAGGCATTGCTTCCTGCTGTGGAGTTTTTACAACTGTTTCCAGCCGAAAGAGGTGGCAAGGGGTTGGGCACAAACTCTATGTGTGCTGGGAGCCTCTGAAGCGACACCATGCTTGAGACACTTTGTGAGGAGGACTGCAAAGGCATGATGTTTGTTGGCATCTTCCAAGGGTGTTTTATCATTCCAGCTGGATGCAAATTCAGGCACTCTGTGCATTGTGTACTGACAGAGGAAGATGTGGTTACCTTGCCTTGGTGAAGATTGGTTGTGGGCAGCTTTAGTTTCATACTGTGCTGAAGCTGATCCACAGTCCTTCTTGTAATAAATAGAGCTTGGGTTGGTGTTTCAGAAGCAAGGAGTCCTTTTGCTGACAGGAAGGAAGTTAAGGAATAGCTTGGCTTTTCAGCTGTGAAAAACCCTTTTGGGGAGACAGAGGAGCTGTGCTTTGTAGACAGCGCTAACGGCAGCACAGCAGACGTGAGAGGCTCTGCCAGTGCTCCGTTGAGTAAAAGGATATCAGTCTCTTGCTTCACTTCTGAGAGGGGAGCAGATAACTGAACCTCTTCAGGCAGACTGTGCAGATGGATGGCCTGCACTGTAGTCATCCTTGTCTGTGGATACAGTGAGTGATTTGAAGCTGAGGTCACAGCTTGAAATGAACTAGTGGTGGCTGTAGAATTAGCATTAGTCGGCACCGTCCAGGCAGTTACTTGCATTTTCTCTGCTGATTGCTTAGAAGCAGTGGAAAGAATCGTTTCAGGCCTTAGAGGCTGACTAGTGGAATAAGAACGAGTTTTCATTGGAATAGTGTGGCTCCTTTCAGAGGGAACCAAACTCAGATCTTGCTTGCTAGTAAGAGATAAAGCAGTTTTATGGTCACCCTCACTGTCAGGCGAGTACGATGTCCGGAACTCTGGTCCCTCAGCAGGCAAAAGGATAAACACAGGCTTAATCAAAAGCAAGCTAGAAAAACCCAGATTTTGCAGGTTTGTAAAATCTACTGCTGAAGAATTGGATGCCGCCAGCATTTGCTGAATGGAAACCAGAGCCCCAACACTGGTATTTGGGAATCCTGCAGGCAGAGGGGAGTCTTGCATGGGTTGCAAGCACATTACACCATCAGTGCTTCTAAGCAGGAAAGATAAATATTGGGATGATGGTAGTATTGTAAACTGATCAACTCTAAAGCCACTGAGGTTTTTAGTAGCTGCATCATCCAACATCCCAAAACGCTGAACTAGTGCTTGTGCCACATGTGACAGGATCTCATGAGAGTCACCAGGCACCGCTGCTTCGGGATGCCCTGTTGTTGAGCTAAGCCGCCTTCCCTGTGCATGGAGCAAGGCCAGCCTTGGAGGAAAAGATTCCAAGCTGCCCGCTCCCTGGTTCTGGGAGGCTGGAGGGGCAAAGCTATGAGGAACCTTTGGGCTTCCATTGTCATAAAATCCAGGAAGGCTGAGGGTTGTGCTGGTCTGTGGATTCCTCGTGGGAGAGCCAGCCTTATCTACCTGATATGAGACACCTGTCTTTCTCTCACAGTCTTTCACTGTGCTCCTCTGTGGCTTGATAGGGAAGGTTTCCTGAAATCTAGGATAGGCAGAAATGGCTTGAACATGAGACCCAGAACTAGTAAAAGTAGATGAAATCGGTATGTGAAATCCTTTCTTGGCAGAAGTGGAGACGCCCCTTAGATGCAGTCCAGCACAAACAGCAGCAGCTGTAGCTGCTCGCTGATGCCTTGCACGAACAGAATCAAGTGTGCTTAGATGCCGGAAGCCTGCATTCACAAACAGAGATGTACGGGGAAAGAAGGCAGGTGTTGCTCCTTGCTCTCCAGCAGCTGGGGAAAACTTCAACTCTGTCATCTGTGATTGGCTTAATGGGAATGAGTTAGCAGAAGTCTGTGGGCCCCCAGGGGATCCAGCTGTGTCAGGTTTGCTAGTAACTGTCTGAGGTTTAGCATCACCTTGCAAAGGTAGCACTCCACCTTGAGAGCTCCTCCTGGTTTCTTGAGAAATACGGATAGTACAGTTCAGAGTCTGGTACAAAGAAAGAGACTGTGATGGATCAGTTGAGCTCCTGGGCCCTTGAAATGAAGATTGAATTAAGCCATCATGAACAAGTGTTTCCAGAGGCATCGATAATGGCGAGTGTTCATTGCCCTGTGGGAGGGCCTGAAGAGCAGGGAGCTGGCTTGGGGGTTGAGGGCTCTTCATTTCAGGTGCTTTTAAGTGTTTGGTTTTACTGGTTGTTGTTTCTTCCTTCCAAGGGACAGCAGGGGAAAACTGGACAGCAGTTGAATGCATCATTCTGGAAGAGACCACCTCAGAGTTACCTGAGGTCAGCTTTTCAGTGAATGCAGAAGCTGTGACACCTACATCCCTGAAAAAGATTCCCATTGCGGATGCTAGAGTTACACCAGCTTTGCTCTCAAGCTGGGCTTCTAGATTTGTGTCTTTTTGCCTTTTGTTAGTTGGTGTTACTGTTGGTAACAAACCCATCCTGGCACTTTCAAGAGCTGTCTTCACTGCTACTTCTTTTCTTGGAGTATGGAAATTGGCTGTTGAAGTCAGAAGAGACAGTTTAGCACTTGGCATCTCTGTCTGCTTGATAGCAGGCTTGGAAAAGACAGCTGCAAACTCCAGAGAATCTTGAAGAGGCTGGGGCACCCCACCACCAGAGCTGGCGAGTCTATTACTGGATTCAGTATTATTTTCTCTTTCCGGTTTTCCTGTTAGTGACTTGGTGGGCTGTTCCTCATGGGTAGCTGACTGTGTTCCTTGCCTCAAGATAGGGATGCTTGTGCTACTCAAAAGCCTGCTAGCAACTGTGCCTCCCTCTTGATGTTTTAAAAATTCTGCTTCTTTGTGCTGCCCCAGAGCCCACCCCAGCTGTCTAACCAATCCACTAGGCACCACAGCTGTTAATTTCGCAGCCATCTCTGTTTGCACAGGGATCAAGTGAGCTGGCATTTCATTGGTAGAGTCAACGGCTGGAGTCTGAAAATCAAAGGTCACTTCGTGCAAGTTATCGTCTGTAATGGAAAACACTTCACTGGTCACTGGGCTGCTCTCAGCTCTTTGTTGGACTTCTCCGGGAAGTTTCTGGTCTAACACTTCACTGCCATGATGTTCATTTCTGGAGGCATCTAACAAACAGAAAATAGGCCTTTGTCTCTTTACACACACATGAGCTTTGAATAGTTTGCAGCAGAACTTTACAACAGGCTGAGTGAGAAATGGCAGTCAGAAGGAAGCCCTAAGGTTGCTCAGGGCCAGGCTCATGGATCTTAAACAGCAAAGCAAGATGAAAATATAGATTAACATGCTCACTCACCTAGATATCCTCAATCATTCCTCCTCTCCCAATATCTCAGTCCTATGTTGAGTTTCCTGGACACTTGTAATTGTCCTGTTTCCATTGAGTCTTGGAAGTCAGAGGCAGAAAACACATCGAAAACAAGGTTCTGTCTTTAAGAACTGAACTCTAGAACAGGTACACTAGGCTTACAGACAGCACAGTAACCTTCTAAAGAAGGATCCTTGTCCTTACAACCTTGGCTTAGGGAAACTTTGCACTGGGCTATGTAAGGTTCACATCATTAGAGTATGAAGCTCTTCTGTTTTGCCCAAGTGATGCAAAGGAGAACACAATAGCCCCTCTGCTTCTAAATCCTCAAATCGAAAGCAGATATTTCATCATTTTAAAGGCAGATTCACGACTGAGAAGGCTATTGCTTTATGAAACTTTGTTTTTCTTGCTTACTTGTACTGGGTCGACATTTCCAAGCATGCTCGTCAATCCACAGCCTAAAATATAAATGTTCTTTCCTCCCTGGCTGCCAGCAAATAAAGGCACAGAAAAACTAAGAGGTGATTTTGGTATGCAGTTAAATTGTGCTTTTGACAAAGGCAAAGCAGGTGAGCCTGGGGGTTTGTGCCCGAGTGCTGTGCTTTTACAGCCTCTCTGGGGTCTTTTGACAAATTGGTACTACTTTGGTCAGTTATAAGCAGGATGAGCCACTTGAAAGGAAGCAACTCCCGCTAGTTTACTATTTTAAAAAGGTTAACTGTTGTTGGATACTGGTGACATGTCCAAAATAGTTGGAGTTGTGATTTTGCAAAGGAAAACAACCCCTATGATGGTCCCAAAAGAAATGCAAGTACTCAGACTAAAGGTATAGATCTAATCGAAACCTTTACTGAACCAAGGCCTTTGAGAAAGTGCTATAAACACATATAAACACCTTTGCATGGGAATAAGGTGCCTAAATAAAAGCCCAAAAGAACAGATTTAGAAAATGGAGAGAATATTCCTTGAATGCATCCAAACTTATTTTGGCTCACAAGCTGAGTCCTGTTGAAAATATACAAGACTACTCTCATGAACCAAGTTAGACCTATGAACATTTGCAGGCTATGCTCATAAGCACACAATATGATGTAGAAAGACTGGTCTCTTACTATGAGTGACAGCAGCTCCAAGAACTCATTTGGATCATGACAGCATTACAAACTCTTCATTGAATTCACTCTGTCAGAAATATTTGGCAAGACAGCTGTTTGCAGAGAACAAGCAAGCATACTCTTCAGGGGTAGACTGTCTCTCAGCTTGGGTGTGCAACACAACTGGGCCCTCATTTAGGCCTGCTAACACTTGCATAACAGAAATCATTTAAATCAGTAACTGGAGCTTTCCAGAACAGCTGTACAAACAGAAAAGCTGCTCCTTCATCTTTGCCGTCACATACCTGAGACTGACAGCAAAATGCCCAAAGTTTTCTTTCACAAATACTGTAGCAAAGGAAGGCAGAAAGACAGCACTTGAGGATAACTAACGCATCACTCACCAGACAAATCCAGTAGTTCAGCTGCAATTAAAATAAGGATGGGGATTTTCTCCTGCATTTTGTGCAGCACTCCTGAGTCAGCCCAATAAGAAAATATTCTGACACGTAGCAGCTAACCAAGGAGTCACTGATGTCTTTTGGCAATGGGCACCTGCAGCGTTTGTTCTGCATGGGCAGGGTATTGGGTTCCTTTATAACAGCTTAAGCCAGACAGCAACCAATAATCTTTTCAACTCCTCCCACCAAAAAAGAGCCTGCACCCATTAGAATCAATTGATTTTTAATAAAATTAAGCTACTTAAATACTCTCAAGAAGGCTGTTTCCAGAAGCTTCATCTCTCCAAATTTCACTCTGCTCATTTATCTGGCTGATAGCCTAAACGTTCTTTTTGTATCTTTCCCTGGCACAGTTGACAATGAGGCCAAGTCTATATTACTGTTATCTAGACTAAAACAAACGATATTTTACGGGTATTCTAAATTGTGATTTACAGTCCAGTCAATATCACACTGGCACACAAGAAGCAGCAGAATAAATCATCGGTAGATCCTGGAACTGGAGCTATCAACAGCATGAAATTTTACAGTTGCAGAGGACTAATTCTAATGAAAACAGTAGATTTTCTTCTTAAACACCAGGTATCGGACACATGAACTGAGAAGTTGACTAAACCAGCCATTGCTCTCACATTGCTTGACTTTTATTACGATTTTGCAGCAAGGAACTTCCCAATAAGAAGTGGTAGACTCGCTTATCACAGCAAAAATCAGTCTAATGCAAGCTTGTGTCTTTAAATATTAGTCTAGAGAAGGAATGAACTTACATTTATATTGATTTTTTTCATTTGCTTCTACGGAGAAACAGCAAAAAAAAAGGAAAAGGGATTGGAAAGTCCTGTGAATAATTTTTAAGAATGAAGAAGCAATACTCAACAGCAAGTGATGAGAACAGCATGTAAGGAAGGTTTGAAGACTTCAAACACTATGCACATATTTCATAGAGGAGTTCAGAATGGCCATTCCATTGAGCTCCCGCAGTTGAAAAATATGCCTGAAAAAGATCGAAACAGAAAGGAAGGATAAGATGCTGAAGTGATCCAAGACTGGCCAAACAAGAATGTTAAGCTTCCATTGCTCTGCTACAACCCATGCCCAAACTGTCAGAGATAGTTAGTGTTGCACTTCGATTCCTCAAAAATAGCATGGGAAAGTTTCTAGGTTACTCTTCCCTGCAAAAATGAAAGTTCTAAATACTTAATGTAAGTGTTCAGACAGCTGTTATTTCAGATCAGCTAAACCAGCAAAGTTAATTTCCTCCTTTATATTCCTTAAGAGTGTTCTGCTGCACATGTCGGATTGCGAATTTCTTTTCAAGATAAGCTTTACACCTCGATTTCTGTATAGTAGTTCTGGAGGTTCATGAATGCAATTCAATGGACAATTGACAGTTTGCCTCTAGCTAGGACTTGGCATACTCTTGGCAAGCAGCAGCACAGACATTCTTTGCTGGCATTAATACTTTTGTTTTGCTCCCATTTCTGACCCCTTCAAACATAACATCCTTCTTCCTCCTTCCATTCTTCCAGAAAAAGTAACGTGACAAAACAATGCAAAATGACCTTCTGAGAAAACATTTTAAGCCAGTCAAATAGCAAAGAAATCTAAGGCAGGATACTGGCAACAGTATTGCAAGTGGGAACTGCAGTTGAAGGAAGGGTGATAGATTTCAAAAGCTATTTAAAAAGCTATTTATTTCTTTCCCCAGTAGCCACTTACTCTGTGAGTGGCTAAAACTGAGTGCACTAAGTTAGGTGTTAGGTGATCCCCTGGGTTCCCCAGGTTTTCCTCACCAGGGGCTAAAGAGGTTCCCATATAAGTTCAAGAAGTTTCACTCAGTAACAACTGGATGGCACATGAGAACAAATAGTCTGTTTTACATTACCTTGGTTCAGCAGTACAAAGCTTCCCCAGAGCAATTGCTGCATTCTCCTGCACTGAAGTGTTGGTAGCATCACCACCAGCATGTTTCAACAAAACCATCACAATGTCGGAATTCAGTAAGGATGTTGCTGCTCCAGGAACTGCAAGGCAATGTCCAAGGCAGAAAGCAGCATTTCCCACTATAATTTCATTCTCGGAGTTCAAGAGCTTCAGCAGCACAGCAAACCCTGCGAGAAAGAGCGTTACTGCACTGGATGTTTGCAAATCTGCTCATAGAGCATTCGCATTTTCTCCTGCCTTTATCTCAACTCTGCTAATAGTTTCAGTATCCTGGATGCCAGGCACATGTGACTGGGCAGGATGGCAATTACTTTCCCCTGTCTACTAAGCAAAAGTGTATAAATAGGAACAGTATCATTAAGAGGATTTAAGTACATATGAGGCAAGTAAGAGAGCACATTGCAACAAGTTTGTTCTTGGGGCAGATCAGATTACAAAGCAAAGAAATGAGAAAAGTGGTGATTTTTTTACCTAAAGTGAGATTTCGTGGAAAGAATCAGAGTGAAGTGTCATTGATAATCTGTGAAAATGAAAGCTTCATCTACAGTTGACAATGACACTAACAGGGAACGTACAAAAGGAAGATGTTCTTCTGAGAGGCTTTTAATGAGCTAAAATCCTTGGGGCTCAAGCTGACGGTTTCTTGACACGCTTAGCTATCTAGACAAAACTTAAGTATTCTTAGCTGTAATTACTTTAGCACTAACTTAACCTAGATTTTAAAGCACTCTGCACAGTGTTACTCTACACAATTAGAATATTAATAACTCAAAATACCCAAAGACACCCCCCTTCAGTGGTATTACTCTTCTTCCATACCCATTTCCTTTTATTATGAGGACAAATTTCCACATATATATTCAAGGCAATTGTTAACAAACTCGGTCACTGGAAAGCAGATGCCACTAACTTCTGGAGATAGGGCCCTACCCCATTATAATTATCGAATAGTATTTTCCAGATATACAGATTTATGCCCTAAAAAAACCCCAAAAAAACACCACCAGCAACAAGCCATTTTAGTCAAGTAAAGCAGACTCTATAACTCAGGCTCCTTATCTGATGTGCATATTTCCATCTACACAGAGCCAAGGCTCATTCAGCACTATTTCAGGAGATAAAAAGGCACATTGCTCAGAAAACATGGCTAAACTCATGCAGGAGTAAAACCACATTCAGTTATTTGAGAAGTACTCAGATGAGGCTTAGATTGCACTTCTGCATTCAGCCTCTAATGAGTGAATTTGACACTTACTTCTATCTGACTTCACCACCTCTTCTTGAGCTTGACAGTTACTTTTGGTGCAGATAGAAAGGGTCCTTATAGCATAATTAGATGTGATCTGTCCACCAGCCTAGACGTTATTGGAATAAAGCAACATTAAAATGTGCTGTTCATAGCCCTACTTACTCAGAACAGAGAATAACCTAGGTACCATGGAGATATTTAGGTATTATGCCCAAGCTCAAATACCAAATTAAGACCTTGACAGAGTACACATCCTGGCTCACCATCTCTTTACATATGTTAGCTCAGGACTGTGCACAGATGCAGACCTTCAGCGACTCAGACCTTCATGCTATAATAACCTGCCCTTTAATGGGACACCCACAAGAGTAAGTGAGCTTTGCAAATTGACAGAGTAATATTCTCAAATATCAATAACTGATAAAAGAATAAGACTACTGAAGTAACAGATTTACTAGATTTACTACACAGTAAAGGGCAGAGTTAAAAACAAAACAAAACAAAAAAACCCCTTTGCTTGTATTAGATATGAAGCTGATACTGCAGTGTATAAAACCGAAAAAAAAAGTGGGGGAAAAAAAACTTTGAAAGGAGAAATTTAAGCTGTCATCAGGTAATTAAGCCCACTGGAGTTTAACGCCCATATCTGAAAGAACAAACTTCGGCCATATAGGAAGAGAACATACAGTACTATCTCAGAACTCAGGCTGAAAATGAGACAGGGACATCTTTCCCATCAGCATTACATAAATAATTCGCTGATGCTCTAGACCTGACTTCCTTTCAAACTAACTCCTCTGATTCGTGCAAGCTACAAGTGCTGGGCTGGGTGCTATAGACTTCTGTGCCGATTCTATCTGCATCATAGGCTGATGTAGATGCATTTGGCTTGATACAGATACAGAGAAAAAGTTTTATGGATTAAGGTATAGCTAAATTTAGAGACAAGTTACACCTTGTCCTGATTCGACACTCCCTGATAATTCAGTGAAGAGAGCTCCACTGCCTTTCAGCAGTCTGAATTAGACTACCTCAGTCTTGGGCTCTAATCCTGCAACTCGATCCATAAGAGCGGATTCTGAATTTAGAGGCCTCCTCAGTGGAGCTGTGTGCATGGGCACAGCCGTCTGGCTCACATGGAAAAAACTAGAAAAAAAATAGGACAGCAGACAGGTACCAAAATGGTAGTATCACGGTTCTTTGATGCCTTTCTCTGAGAACTAAGACAACCTCATTTCCCTTCCTGGCTGCCTGTCCACGTGATTCCTTAAAATTGTATTTTAGAGCACGGACAATGCGACGTACACAGGCACCCAGCCCAACCCAGTCTCTTTCCTTGGGATAGGGGGCTAAACATATGTAGAACTCAGGCTGGCTTTCTTGGGGGATTAGAGAAGTAGAATAATAATAACAATAATAATAATAATAATAATAATAATTTGTTAATTTACTTTCAAGATTTTGATCATTTTCTTCACCATGCCTCCTTTCACTACTTCTTCTACTGCCGAGGAGGATGCTGGCAAGACGCGACTTAGCACTCCAAGGGCTCTCTTGTTAAGAGAAAGAAAGGAGAAGGTTATATTTATTTGTCCAGACAACTTCACTAGGAGTTCTCCAGTTAATTTCCTTTTGCAGCTGGCAGAGTAAAACCAGAGCAGATAAAGCGATAAGAAAAATTTACAGAAACACAGTGAACATAGTATCTTTAGGACACTGCTCTTTCTAACCAGAGACTGAAGTCTGCACCTAAAGGCTCAGGTAAGCTGTAGTCAGAAACAAATTCACTGGAGAATCTAGCCCAGTGCTGCTGGTATACCAAGTCAAAGAAGATGCAAGAAAAACACATCAGAACTGTTCATTTAAGTACAGCTAGAGGCAATAGCACTACTCCTTTCTCAGACCACATCTACTCCCATCAACCTGCCTTGGAGGACTGCCTGTGCAAACTGTACACACATTAACAGAAGTACAACCTCCTAGGAATGAGATGCAATAATTGTAAAAAACAAACAAAAAACCCACATAGCTGTTAAACACTCAAATGGCTCTTGTTCTTTTGCGTCTAGATTGCGTCTGAAAGATAAAACTTTCAGAGACTTTTATAATGAAAACCGTCTTAAAGATGAAATGATTTTTAAGAATTTCTATAAATAAATTTCAACAGAACATGGAGAATCCTCTTATATCAAACACTGTATCAAGAAATGAGCAGACGTAGTAGTATATTATTTCTCTAGCGATAATGATAATAATTGCACATATTTGTCTTCGAGGGCTTGCACAGGGCAGTAGTATACCCTGAAGGATTCCATTCTGATCAGCTAATACATCCTTTTTAGTCTGCTGATATCCACTTACTGTCACAATCCTTCCATCCTTACTGCTGAGGAGAGACATGCATCTCCCACTTATATCCAAAGCAAAACACTAGAAAGAAAAAAAGAAAGGGGAAAAATCAGGTCCAACTGATCAAGGGAAGTATTAGAGCAGAAGTGGGCTAGACAAAAGTCAGCCTCCAGGACAAAATGCAATGGAGACTTTAAGGCATGCATGGCAGTAAGTTACTAACTCAATGGCACCCATACGTAAGGAAAAAAATCTACCTTCTTGATAGGATATTGTGAAAGTTTTGAAATATGCTAAGCAGCTGCATATGCAAAAAATGGAGACTGATGTCAAAACAAAATAATTGTAGTGCTATGGAAAGGTATTGTATGCACTTTACACTGTTTAACATATATATGTATGTCTGATGGCGGTGAAAGCCCTCTTCACTTGCATCTTTACATTCCTCAAGCAGTCAGCTATTCTTAACGATCACCTTGAACACCAAGAGAAGTTCCTAAAAAGTGAACACAGTTACACCTCATGTTGGGAGCCTTGAAGTTCCTCACCACGTTTAAGATGAAATAGGACTAAATCTGCATAACACAGGACTAAATCCCTATAACATTGCCGAACTCTCTCCACACCGTGCCGACTGCAAGGCTCACGATACTGCATCGTCATCGCCCCTCCACCAGCCTCGTCTTTATCCGAGTGTTCCAGTATGACACCAGTGTCTTTGCACCAGGCCCACTTCCAGTAGCAAGGGAGGCAGGAGCTGTAAGTGCCTGAGCAATTCTACATCTCTAGTGAAGTAACGAAAGCAAGAAGGCTACCCAGGAGCATTCACACATCTTGTTTACCTGGATTGCTGCACTCGATTCAAGCAGTAAGTTCATCATGAGGCCCAGCACTGCAAACAAGCACTCCTGGTATTCAGGGGTACTGCCACCAGGAAGACATTTGTCCTATACACAGAGGAGAGAAGAGTACACACAGCCCAAAAATCCAGGATGTATTTCCCAACATGTGTGCTTGCCTACTGTAAGAAAAAGTCCTATGAACACCTGAGGTGATGGTGCCCCTTCCATACAAGTTTGTTCTTACGGCTGACTTGGGTGTCTAAAGCAGAACACTCCAACTGAGACATCTGCTATTTAGACAATCTAGAAAATCTTTTCCCATGCTGAATTCTTCATATGCTAAGGACAGAGCTCACACTGCATCCTTACTCTGAGTACCACCACTGATGTGAACTCACTCCTCCTCCACCTACCAACCCAACTCACGTGAGCAACATACAACTCGGGCCTTTATCCATCTGTCATAACTGAGGGATATGTTGAGCCTTGAGAGGGAGGCAGAAACACAGAACTGTCATTTCGATAAGATGCGAGTCCGAAAACAGTTTCTGAGGTACAACCAAGTCTCTTTACCATGAGCTTTAAGCAGGCCTGCCAGCACTCTTGACAGTCAGCCATCTTCTTTCGCACAACTCCGTCTGTGCACAGATCCCCCATGATGCCAATACAATGAGCAAGGGCTGTCCCGTTCACCAGCTTGGCAGAGATCTTAAAAAGAGAAGAGCAGTTGTAAGAAGAAACGACAAGACTACAAACAGGCATTCCTACTCTTCTGGCAACAGAAATCGGGACGCCAGAATCATTCTTAACTGCATTCAAACCCAACTGTCCAAAGTTTGCAAGTTTCCTTAGTTTCTACAACTAGAAACCTGTGAGCCCATTTTGAAAAACCCCTTCTGCAACAGAACCCGTGTTCTGGATCTTCTCCCCTCTGCCTGAAGACAGGTTTTTTTGAACGAGTGGGAAACAAGTTTGTCAGGCAAATACATGATGGACAGTGAAGGGACCTGACCACTAAGCTTATTTCGTCTCTGACCTAATGTCATCTTTTAGCCCCCGGATTAGCAAAAATCACTCTCCAAGTTGCAGCCAGTTAGTGACAGTGCATTAAAGTCACAAAAATAGTCTAAAGTTAAAGGGGTAAAATCCTGGCCTGACAAATTATTGGTGAGACTCTGCACCACAGTCCAGAGTTTTTACTGTTTCTAAAGCTAGCACTGGGTATAAGCCAGGACTAAATGCAGGGGACCGAAAAAAAAATCCTGAGGAAGGTCTATTGGCATAACTGGATTTCTTGAACCTACAGCACTAGATGAAACAGGATACCTCGTGTGGGTCTACCACAAAAGACGATAAGCAACTGGTTGTGAAACTAAGGGTTGGGAGAGAGAGAACACAAAAGTTAAGAAATACAGGAACTGAGATCTTTCATACCAGCAACTGGCTGAATAAAGGTAAAACAGCTGTGGAAAACTCGATGCGACACTGGATTTTGAAACTGTTGAGGATGAAGAAAGCAATATTCAAACACTTATATCTTTAGGCAAAAAACAAAGTCAATTAAGCCAACACCACAGCAAGAAAAGACAAGGTAAACAACTTCACTGCTTGCAAACCTTCTGGATACAGAAAGGTACTAAGTCCTAGCTTGAGAGGTTTAAAGCAGCAAGCATATTTTCAATAAGCAAATATATTGTTTTCTTGATATCCTCTTTAGGTATGAATAAGGACTTTCTTATGATGTAAAGAATGTCATATTTGTTCTCACTCAAACGTAGGCAAGCTTGATGGCATAACTTGGTATCAGCCATAAAAATATACCTTTGTTTCAGGAGGACTACAAGATACAAAAATCCTTTCATTTGCAAAGCATTTTATCTACTAGCACACATGGAAAGTGGCTCTTTGTCTACGGGACAAAAGAGCATTCAGTGTACAGCTCTGCAATTTGCCCTTAGAAACAGTGAATGTCATTTAGTATGTTTCAAAGCACAACTTGCTAGAAATAAACGATGAAATGTGACTTACCTTTCCTCTTTGGTTAGATCAGCCAGGACATTCACAGCCTGGCTAGCCCTGCCATCAGTGCTGTTGATAAACATCATCAAAATCTGCAACCACCTGTTATTGAAAACAGACCCATTTGTCAGCTTGGGTTTAAATAAGGATCAGAATGGCATTCGAAACACACCATTGCATTTTTACTTCTGATCTTAAACCCCTTGAGTTGAGCAGGATTTCAGCCAAGTTGCACATAATGGATCCTCCAAACACGTTCCATCACCTAATTGCAACTGCAGCAAGGTCTTGCCACTACATTTCTCTTGTAAAATTGTACTTCCTTGTACAATTGCACTCATTTTAGGGGATGCACCAATATCCACCACTGTTAAAACATTTCAGCAGCATGCAAGCTTCCCAAGATGTTTGAAGCTGAGCTGCTTGGCTGCTGGTAAGCTTCCAAAGGAAAGGTAAGCAGAAAACATCAGCAGGACAGAGGACACAACCAGCCCAGCACTTGGCTTTCAACACGTTATAAACACATGCAAGGTCAGAGCTTGAGGGGCTTTAGCCGAGGGGCTAAAGAACAGACTGAGCAAACTTAGTCTTGCTAGAGGTTAACCTCCCCAAGCAGCAATGGAAACTTCGCCTACTGCTAAAACAGAAAGAGCTGCGTACCAGCCACCTTTTCAGCTCTTGGAAGAGTACCTGCTGCTGTATGGTGTAGAGCTGCACAGAATTTGCAAGATTTGGATACCTGGTGTCCCACAGGCTGCTCTGCTGAGCTGAAATTCTTCCCTGCCATCCTCCTACAGAGCGCAGCTCAGAAAGAAAACCTACAGTCTCCTCCCTTTTTGGTAAAAAGACCGACAGCTAAGAAGCTCAATACCTGCAACTTCTGAACATCCTCACTCCTCTAGCAATTAGTCTTGGAATCTTTTTCATAAGCTGACAGAAGATTTTTTTTTTCAGGCTCTTGACATTTCAAGCCACAGCATGATCATCTGCCGTTATTAAACTTGCTTTCACCCATGGCGCATTTCTTAACTCCCCCTTTGAGGAAAAGGGTCTTGGAATTAATGTGGTACACTAAAGCACATACATCTGCTGGAGATTCCTTCCTGTTCATCAGTTACTTTAAACCACTTAATACAAACAAGTATATTAGATTTTCTCCTCTGAGAAACTGTAGAAGGAAATAACAGGACAATAATACACAGGTGACGGACTCGTTTCTTGCTCCCCTTAGTGAGTCACTGCAGCACCAAGAACAATCAGAAACGTCAGCTGTCAGAGGACGAGAGTGCAGCAGCTTGAAACTCCAAGGTAAGGTCGTGCTGGAGTACTACACAAACACCCTTGCTGTTTTAGAAAAGTAACTATGCCACAAAGTTACCTATACATCTCTGAGAATAAGCCCTTTCCACCTAGCTTCACAAACATGTTCAGGCACAAAGCTGACCACATTAGGTGTCCCCACATAGTTAACTTCTTACCTCTGCTGCTCCATTCCTGTAGAATTTTTGCTAAAGCAGGCCTACCACTCAGAAGTCAAAGTTAGTGGGTTCCTACAAATTTTCAGAAAGCTTGCCAGCTATTTACTGCTCAGCATGGTGCTAGCAAAGTGAGTTTGAAGCTCTGGGATTGCAGGGAAAATGGAGTTTTTTCGGAACTGCTGTTAGCATTTATTACCTGCTTAGGTCCTGGTGTCTGACCAACAGTCTCCTCCCATTCTCAGTCTCAGAGTAGAGGGAGATCAGCGCCAAGGTCTCCTTTTGGATCTCTGGTACCCCAGAAGAAAGCAATTTGGACAGTTGTACATTCATATCAGAGTGAGTTAACAGAAGACGCTGATTTTCTTCTATATATATATAGAAAAAAAAGAGAAATCATGATCAGTCTTGCACAACAGAACTCATGTCCTCTTTCTCTGTTTCTCCCTAGGGGCAGATCTAAAAGGTTTAATATCCTACACTCCATGACACAGTCCTACAGAGCAACTACAAGCTAGAACACCCGCCACTCTTCTCAGCTCCATTGCTTTAATACATTTAGATGTTTAAATTTCTACTCACTACCTAATATGCTAGCTTCTTGGGCAGCATGCATCTGCAAACTTTCTAGAACTGGAGGCACAGACTACTTTACAGGGACTGCTAGGTCCCTGGTTGCCAAAAGATATCAACCTCCCCCTTTCCTATGGCATTTCTACGCAGATCTGCTTTTCATTGGTAGAACTTGTAAGAAAAAGAAATAACTACCTGCAAACAATAACGCCCTAACTTGCTTCCCACTCTTTAAACAGTCCTAAAATGCCTGCTGAAACAGACTGGAAATGTCATGTTCTGATGGATGTAACAGCCATTGTGGGTGCTGCTAAAGTGCACCTGCAATACTTGCACTCGACCTGTAAAACTTGGTTTATAGTATGGCCTCCACCCAAGCGCTCTGCAGAAGTGATATTCCTACAAAACGATTTGACACAGCAAGAGCCATACTAACAGAGCACTAACAATGATTAGCATTGATTAGTTTTACCATTCCCAGCGCAGACAGCTTGCCAGAGGCAGAGAAGAGAAATGGACAGATCCGCTTCAGCAGTAGTCTTCCTCTCTGCAGAGAAGCCCCTAAGTCAGAAATGCTAGCTATTAGAAAAAGCAAACTGTGGAACCTGCAAGAGCGCTTTAAGCACATCATGTTCTGAACCAGCTCAGTTGTGCAAAAACTTCAAATCACATCTTTTGCACAGCTCTCGTTTCCATTCCCTGACTCAAAACCACTGTGAGAACAGAACGCATCTAAGTCAGTTTAGAGGGCTATTTAGATAGCTATTTGTCAGATTTGTTTCATGATTATTAAAAAAGAACAACATGTCTTTCCTAAGCAGCCATTATAAAAGGCAGAAGCCAGATCCCCCAAGTGATCCTGCTCTTAATTATAGCTTAAATTCTTTTTAGGATTAGCTTACTAGCTAGGAGGCCAGAGAGTTACCTCTGTCAATCTGCAGGAGCAGGGAGTCTAGCCAGATATGCTCAAAGCATCTACGTTTTCACTTGAGATGGTCTTTGACAAGAGGTTAACAAACGTGCTCTCACTAGTAGAGATGGAGTGCAGAAACGGGAGAGTGCAGAGACGGAAGCAAAAATCCATCAATTTTGTCCACGGCAGCAAGATAGCAGTATTTGTCTAAAGGTCAGACAGGAGTCAGTCTATTCAGACATTACAATCTGTTGTTACATTATCTTCCAGTAACCCCATCTGAATGGTGATAACGTTTCCTGCAAATCTCTTGTCATTTCCTCATGCTGGAGCATCCTACTGTTCTCCTTTGGAGAGCCACTTACCGTCTTATGACCTTGTTGTCATTGATGATACTGAATCCATCATTTGTTCTGAATAAAGTTTGCTCCGTGCCTTAAAAAAAGGAAGAAAAAAAAAAAGAAAAAACACACAGATAAAACCAGCCCTGTGTTCCATCTGACTGACACAGCACAGTGAAGAGAGATTCCTGCTCTTCTGCAATACAGTATTAAATAAGGTCACTGCATTGACAGTTTGGAGCAGGGCAGAAGGGGGCTGCATCTTGGAAGGAGGAAAAATCCTTTCAACACTAATTGAAATAGAAGCAGCTTTGAAGCTGCAGACTGTGCTAATTCATGATGGGTGCTATGCAGAGCGACTGACAATGTTCAAGGCTTCATAGGAAGATGCATACACGAGACTGGCCTTGCAAATCAATGTGTTCTAACCAACGATTACAGACATTTCAAATAAGCTGACCACCTGCAAAATGACTCTCATGTTCCAAGACCCGAAAGGTCTTAAGAGCTCAGCTACACTTCCAAACTAGGTACCAAAATAGATCTGCCGACTAAATCCTTTGAAACAAACATATTGCTGATTCCTGTTTTTCAAACAGAGGGTACAGTTTTCCTGTTCCTTCAAAGTCTACTCCAGTTTTCTTAATAAGGTCTGCCCACTCGGATTTCAACTCCCCTAACAAACTTGGCATCAACTACTTACAGTCTTTCATGGCTTCTGTCAAAACTCTGATCCCTCCCGAATAGTAGAGGATGTTCTGGTCAGGCTTATCAAGTTTCTTCAGCAATTCTTTTATTGACAAAGCTGTAAATTTGCCCGACTGAAATTCCTTCAAAGCTCTCTCTTCCTCATTCATTCTTTTTTCCTCCAAGTTCACTTCATTCATGCAATCTAGAAAATGAGAGGAAAGTTAAGAGAGTTAGACTGGGTATTCCAACACAGGAAAGTTTCAAGGCAAAAATGAAACTGGCTCCATGACAGAGGGAACACTCTGCTTTCAACAGTGACCCATGGCTGTACAGAGTCGAGCCCAGGGCTTAAACGCAAGCAACACTTGTACACAAAGGCCACACGAAAAGATTCCATGAAAAGTTGTGAGAAGCTGGAGAGCAGGTTTGAATTTATCTTCTATTTTCCTCAGCTGAGCTTATATTTCTTACCTTTAAACAGGCTTTTCTTTTGTGGGTCAATGTCTAAGATCTTCTGATAGCATTGCCTGGACTTAACAGAAAAGGAACAGACTCTTAATTTAAGATGAAATCTGAGATACCCGTTCAACTTTAAGTTGAACAGTTTTTCGACCACAGTACTGTTAAGTGTAAAAAAATTAGTAACAAGCCAAAACTGTCGCAATTGAAAGCACAAATAAGTCAACACTTAGGCATGCTATTTTAAATGAAAAGGAAAAGCTGAATTGCAAACTCAGGAATACTCTAGTACGAGCAAAACAAGCCAAGTTGCTAGTGGTAAAATAGTTGATACGGAATAACATTAAAATTGAAGCAACTGTAAATATCAACAAGGATTTCATTTGCATGTCTTGCTGGTATGTTCACCACTAAATTAATCACAAAAGTTTAAGACAAGCAAAAACCTTCTCAACCTGAGCTGCTAGGAACTCTAAGGTAGATTTCTTTGGTTCATCTTCTACAACTACTTTATCACAGCCATTTCTGAAATGCGTTTGATCTTGCCTGCTCTCTTCAGGCACTTCAAGATTTTAAGCTACACGGGGGTTGCACTACGCGTTAAATTTGTTATTAATTTAGTAAAGTATCTTGCAGGGAATCACACATTTGTTCCTCTTGTCCACATTATGTCAACAGCAAAACAAAACATGGCCGTATGGTGATAAGACATAGGCAGCTTACTTCATGGAAGTGCTTCAGTGCCAGGTGAGCTTTCCCCATCAGAAAATACGCTTTAATGTATTTTTCATCACACTGCAAACACACAAAAATCAGCAAAACAACAAAAAGCAAATGCTACACATCATGACACAGGCAAAGTTTTTCCCCTCCAGATTTCTGCTGACAGATATAACTGCCCAAAATATTCATACCAGCTACTAGAGACATCTAATGTTTACACACTGAATATTGCTTCCGGGCATTAACTTCTCTCTGCTCTCTGCGCAACCAATACTGGCTTGCTCTACTTCAAAGGCTGAAATCAGCTGGTACTAACATCCTTCCCAGAAAACTGCCTTGAGTAATTCAAGCAAGCTCTCATGCTCTTAGGTAGCACCTAGACGTGTGAGCGTAAAAGTCTGCCATTACCTTGACATGAACAGGTTCGTAGATCTGTAAGGGGACACTTGACCTGATCACAAAAGACAGTAGCCTGTAATTACCTTTAAAGCCCAATTGCAATCACCAATGGCTTTTTCATATTCATGCATCTTCAGGTAGGCCTGAAAGTAAAAGCCAGGAGAGTCCAGGTAGAAAAGCTGGCCTATTTGGCATGTCTTCCCCTAATTGTGTAGACATACTAAAAATTAGCCTGTTGATGTGCACACGTGGACTTTTTCAGGATAATTATCACTGATTACTGCAGCTTTCTTTCATCTCACTATAGCTGTGTCATTTAGACTTACAACAAAAAAAGGAAAAGGCAGCATACATTTATCACAGAATCACGGGATGGCTGAGGGTGGAAGGGACCTCTAGGGATCACCCAGTCCAAGCCCTGCTCCAGCGGGGACACCCAGAGCAGGGGCACAGGGTGGCATCCAGGTGGGGTTGGAAGATCTCCAGAGAAGGAGCCTCCACAGCCTCTCTGGGCAGCCTGTGCCAGGGCTCTGGCACCCTCATAGCAAAGAAGTTCTTCCTCACATGGAGGTGGAACTGCCTGTGTTTCAACTTGTACCCATTATCCCTTGTCCTGTCACTGGCCACTACCGAGAAGAGTTTGGCCCCATCCTCTTCACATTGTTCCCTCAGGTATTTGTCCAACTTATATTATGGATTAGACTAGACAAGTAGAGAGCATAAAACAAGCATTATCACTCTACAATTATAAAAATGACAATTTAAAGAAAGCGTAGCATACTTCAAAAAACTATAGACAAGACAATTTTTACTCCTGTGGAGGGAGAAGGGATTGACCCATGCAACAATCAAAAAGGGAGAAGGCTTGAATATATCTTGAACACAAGGACCAGTCAAAGCAGGAAAAGCTTTCTGGAATTCAAAGACATTGGACAGAAAGGAGGTAATGTACATCTCTAATGATCTTTGTGCAACTCGTGCATTAATATTAGGAAAAAGATGGTAAATGAGCCACCTTGGCAAAAACTCAGATCTGTAATGCCAGTAAACCAACTTGTATGTGGCAGTCCCCTCCATTCAATTTCCCTGAATTTTTACCTTTCCGACACCCCTGCATTGTCTCGGAAGGTATTACTAGCTTTTAAAGGTACATGGGATGTTGTTGTGCAATGCTTTTGCTGAAATACTTGCACTTCAAAGACCCTTGTGTTCTATCTTGGCAACACCACCCTGAAAGCAAGCAGTATATTGGTGGTTCACTTCCACATACTGACCTGTGCTCTGTTAGTGTAAAGCTGCTGCTTGTCCTTCAGTTTTTCTAAGCCTTCCGTGTATTTCTGAACGGCTGTGACATAGTCTCCTCTCCTGAAGGCATCATTTCCTTTCTCCTTCAGAGCTACCAAACACACACATTCCAAAAAATCACATTTGTTTCAAAATGGTGTCTGAACAAGAACAGCCCATATCCTCCTGCTGCATCAATCTCAACTCCTTGGCAGCTCTCATCAGTCCTAGTTTATAAGAGGCTACTGAGCTACTGTGCAAACACAGCCTCTGTCCCTCCATTAAATGGAAACTCTGAGCATTTGCCTTTTCTTTGCTTAGTCCGCTTTTTGAATACTAATACTCTCTCTCTGCAGCCCAAAAGCTTACTGTGAGGAGAACAACAAGGAGAAAACTGGGCTGCAACAAGCAGATGAAGTTATATAACCTTGTGTCAGCTTGTGCAGAAAAATTATTGATCTCAAATACCAGATTACTGCACTTTGCACAAGAACAGCGTTCAGTGTGGCACAGCCACCTTTGCAGTCATCCATTTCCTTCTGGAAAGTTTCTCAAAGCATTAGCTAAAAGTGGGCAATTACCATTTGCTAAATGTTCATTTCTCTTTCTTCGTTTCGCACGCTCTCTTGCATCCTTTTCCAAAGCTGCCAGAAAGCCATCTTTGAGCCAGAAGAATAAGGGAAATATGAGTCAAAAACAAAGGAAAAAAAACCCCACACCAATTAAAATCAACTTGCAGGTGAGACAAAAGTAATTTTGAGGGCCATTTCTTGGTCATTTCTCCACAAAGTTGTAAAAAGGCATTTCAACAATCCGGGATCAAATAGGAAAGTGAAATAGCAGCTATGACACATAAAGGCCGAACTTTGGCAAGAAGCTGCCTAATTATGAGATTCCTACATGTGTTACTTAAACTGACTGAACACTCAATGGGAGGGAAAAAAAGCACCTTTGATTGCAGTGGGAGGGAGCTTAGGCCTTGCATGAGGCAAGAGCCACCCTCACCCTAACTCAGCTAAAACAAGAATCAAGAGCAACTAGATAATAGAGAGAACACTGTCCTACCTGAACCCACCGTCTCCGTATTTTTCATGTCCTAAAAAATAAATAAAAGCAAAGTGCAAGCATGTACGCATATTTAATAAAACTGACAGCAGCAAAGGAGCATTTGCTTCGGTTCAGTCACAGGCATTGCAACACATTGAGAATGCCAAACTGATACTTTAACAAAGGATCTGAAGAACTTCATTATAGCTAAAGGACCTTCTTTGAAAATCCAGAAAGTTTCTATTTTTACCTTCACTGCACCAAGTCATGGAGGTGCAGGCCCTACTGTCTGCATCAGTGTCTAGTGAAAGTGATAAAAGGTCTCTTATGCCTTCATCTAGTTTTGCTCTAGTCTCCCTGGCATGCAAGGAGAAGCCTGGTGTTGCGGCACCTGAACACTTGCTTCCAACTTGGAGAAATCCAAGGGGAATACTCTGTGCTCATAGTAGCTTTAAGGCAAAAATAGAAGACAACATCGGCTACCTTCCGCAGGGCTGCTAGCCAGGAAAACCGAGTCCTGCTCTAGTGCACGTGCATGCCTCTCTCCAAGCTTGCTCCACCACGGTAAGTTGCAAGATTTCACACCGTTTAAGAGATTTCAAGCACGCACAATTTAAATCACAAGGGAACAGCTGAGCCTTACGGGGGCCCGTGTGTTGATCACCGTCCTGTTCACTTTTGTCCTGCATTCTTCCTCTGGGCTGGCCTCGTTGTCACGGAGCCTCTCCTCTGTCTCAGCAAGGGCTTTCTCCTGGACAGGTGGATCTGTGGACTTGAAGCCTTCAAGTAAATCGGCTAGAAAACGGGCAAAAAAACAGACACACACACACGTGTGAACTCGGGTGGCCCTGGGAGAAGGTAGAACTCCCTTCTGCCTTGCCAGATGCCCGCCCCTGCAGCCAGCGATGCCCAGGAGAGCACGCGTAAGGGGAAGTCTTCCCTGAC